GTAAACTTGAGTGGACTATGGGAGATTCACTAGGCCCCACTGAGGGCTTATGCTACCCAGGAGACCTGAGATTCTATACTTGGTAACAACTTGGAGAATGGAGTAAGCTGATTACTGTCACCACCCAGAGGGCAGTATCAGCAAATGGTGAGGGGGATTGCAATCCTCTAGAATATGACTTTAGTTGAGGACAGCATACTTTCAATCCCTTAACCCTCACCACTGTGTTGACAGGTTGAGAGAGCTTTCAGAAAAACATGAAATTGTCCATGTTAAAAATGATCTCCAATGACTTAACACAGAAGAATGAACCTACCAGGAAAACCTTTGAAATACTGTAGATGTATAAAATTTCAGAAGTCCATGAGAAATAGCAAGGATTTTAAACACAAGTTGGTTAGGTCCAATAAAGTAAAGCAAAAGAAAACATGATTTCTCAAGAGAAGGCAGACAGGCTCTTTAAAAACTATTAATGGAAGAATATAAAGTAACAAAGATGTCAACACCCTTTTTAGTGGTGAAATTCTAGAAACATTCCTATTAAAATAAAGAAGGAAAGAAGGATGTTTTTCTGCAATATTATTTAACATAATTCTGTAAGTTATGAAGGGAATAAAGCAAGGAACAAACAGCAAAAAGGAGATTGTGGACAGGGAAAAACAAAATATTATTTATAGGCAGTATGAATAAACCAACAAGCTAAAGAGTTAAGATAATTGAATAAAATGTGTAGATATAATAATTAATATGTAAATACCAGTAACTCTGCTTAAATAATTGATTTTCCCTCTAGGGTGCCTGGCTCCCACCCCAGACTAAGTAAATTTGAATCTCTGCGGGTGGGGGCCAAGGCATCAATACTTGCTCAAAGCTGCCCAGGTAGTTCTGTTGTACAGTGAAGGCCGAGAAGCACACTTTTGGTTTATTTTTAATGACAATCATTAATGACATCTTTAACCCTCGTAAATAGATAAAATCCATTAACAAAAGAATGGAAAAAGATACCATATTCAGAATGACAAAAACTTTGTAATCTAAACCAGAAAACTATGTGATCTGTATAAAGAAAATTATAAAACTTTATTGTAAAACATAAAGGCTTGAATGTCCTGGATGGGAATGTTGAGTATTTTTTAAATGTCAGCACTTTCTTTTCAAATTGAATTAAAAGTTTAACATAATTCTAGTCAACATTTCAGTGGGATTTTAACAGCATTATTCAGAAATTTACTTAAAATAATGCACAAGTGAGAAGAGCAAAGAAACATTTTAAAAACAAGATATACCACAAAGTGCAGTAATGTAAACACCACGGTCTCATACCACTACTGACTACAGTTAAAAGAGATGATTAATGCTTAACTACTTAGGATATTTATTTACTTGCCTTAGTAATAAAGCGAGGAAATTTTATCAGTGTGAAAGTGTGAAATAAATACAACCTTTTAATGAAGATTTGGATTAGCAACATTCACCTTACACTTAAGAGAGGGGCCCATCTGGTTGGCTGTGCTATATGCCAGGATGGCTTCCCCAGAAACTACTTCTTAGTGAGTCCCACGGCTGACCCAAGCCAGACAAGTAGCCCCTTCCTGCACTGTCATCTAAATCTGCAGTACTGTCCTATAGCAAAGTCTGATTTATAATGAAAAAGGTCAAAAGAGTCACTGTATACTCCTTAGCTACTAAGACCAGGAAGACAGGTCTTGCTTTTTTCTCTTTCAGGGTGAAATAGTTAAGAAGTATACTCAGTTCAATCCTAAAACCTATGAAGACAGGATTAATTTAATCCTACAGATGTGTGTAGAAGCTGCAGCAGAAGCTGTAAAACTGAATTGCAGAATTTTGGGAGTAGGTGAGACTATGAATTACTTATCCAAGAAATGTTCATTTTAATGTACAGAATGCATGAGTTCTACATGCTTCCTTGAATATCAAGTCACTGCCTGCCCTGTGTGTAGATGGTTCCAGGTCCTGTCTGGGCCCCAGGCATGGGGACTTCCTGGGATACCAACATGCATTATGTGAAAAGCATTGATGGTACTGTAAATCTGTGAGGAACTATAGATTCAGCTCAGAATTGCTAGACATTTCATTGCAGTCCTTGGTAATGTTTGTCTTAGATCTTGGGTGAATTAATTTATGTTCGAAACCCAGTAAGTTGACACACTTTTCTAAGACTGCTTAATCAGAATTACTCTCGTTTGTGGTGGAGCCCAGGTATTTCTACGGGTGGCCGTGTAAATCCTCAGGAAGGAATTGTGCTGCATTCAACCAAATTGATTCAAGAATGGAACTCGGTGGACCTCAGGACCCCCCTGTCAGATACTTTGCATCTCCCAGTGTGGGTGGACAATGATGGCAACTGTGCTGCCCTGGCTGAAAGGAAATTTGGCCAAGGAAAAGGCCTGGAAAATTTTGTGACACTTATCACTGGCACAGGTAAGGGGAGTAAGAGAAGGTTGTTGTGCTTTAGGAGCTACAATGTGTGTGGGGCCATGCCTTGCACACACAGCCAGGCAGTTTATAACTCTGCCAGAGTCTTCACTTCCTCCTTCAGTAGAGAATGAGGGTGAGCCACACATGAGAACATAGGGCCTTGGCTCTTTTCTGAGTATGTTCCCTGCCCTGGGCATGTATGTGGCCTTTTAAATTCCCAGGAACTTGTCAGAACTTTCAAAGACCTGATCCCCCAAAGATTCTCATTCCCTTTCCTCCTATGTTTTTGGTTACTATATTGTTTGCCCCAACTGTTACCCATTGTCTTAGGCAGCAGAGACTCATAAATATATTTGCCTTTAAATGTTTTTGACAACTATCGCCTGGGTAGCACCTTCTGAGGTAGATGGGACCAAAGCAAGCCCTTTGAGCAGGTCCTCCAGGAGCCACCAAGTGGGTCAGAACAGCCAACCAGAGTTTTGAAAATAAGGTTACTCCTGCTCACTCCAGTACTGCTGTCTGTCCTGGGGATGTGGGCTGCTATTCAAGACCACTGCCAAGCTTGGGAGTGGTGTGGGTGGTGGGTGCAGAAAATGCCAGAAATCTCTCTTACTAAATGTTTTTTTCCTTTAAGCATTCCTAATTGTTGCAAACTCTTAGTTTCCAGAGTTCCAAAAACATAGATTCTGACAGTTTCTGCTTGTTTATTAACTACTCTATTAGAAGGATGGGCTTTTGTTTGGAGTTCCCAACTCTGCCATGATTGCTGATGTCCCCAATTTATATTTCAAATAAGGAAATAGACTGAGCTAGTAAGTGGTCAAGCCACCATTTGATCCCAGATATGTCTAACTTCAAAACCTGTGTGCTCCTAAACTGTATACTTCACTGCCTCCCCTTTAATAAGCTACTGCTCTTCTTTTCTTAGTCTTGGGCATAGTTTTAGCAAGCTTGGTATCATTTCCAAGCTCATGGCAGATAATAAACTGCAAATTGAGCATGAAGAGTGGGTGCCACAAGAAGTAATAGATGGCAGGACATTGAAAAGCAGAACTTTTTTGTGCTTTACTCCTTAATAACTCCTAAACTACATAGCAAAAGAGAGTCATTGATAGTCATGATTACTGAATCATAAATTTTTAGACATGGTGGGATTAAGAAGAGGTAGATCATATTTCATATTCTTTGTTTGGGAAAGCAGGTGGTGTGTGATATGTTTTGGAAAACCTATTCTATCTTTGTTCCCCCAAAAGGAGCCAACACAAGGATTTCGGTGTGTGTATTCAATTGTGGAGGTGATCCTGAGAGGCAAGAGTGAGGAAGTGGGAGAGCAGAACAGAGGAGGAAAGCCAGTGGAGGCAGCCTTGTGGGAGGTGCCGTGAGGGCAGTGGGGGCTGACGCCTGCCAGCACCTCTCAGGCCTGCAGAGTACCACCCAGAGTTGCCCACTTGAATCTGCTCAAACCTGTCTTGCCTTGATTGAGGACAGCATCTGGGCCCTGTGCTTGCATGGCTCACTAGGCCTTTACTGTAAACAGAGGCCCTGGTGAGGAGGCAGGCAGTGTGTGCTGGGGGTGGTAGGCTGTCACTGCAAGGTGAGGCGGGCCGGCATGGAGCTGTCTGCCACAGCTGTGTTTGGAATCAGTGAGCCAAGCAGATGCAACAGGGCATGTAACAGGCTAAAAATATTCCCTCTGGAATGCTTCCAGGTGAAGTTTTGGGACTTAACTAAATTTCAGTTATCTAGAAAGTAGGCATCACACAGGGCCTCACATTCCAAAGCTCTGCCGAGCAGATGACCGTTTCTGTTTCAGGTGGAGAGCCACTTCTGTGCCTATTGTCTCATTACAGGAATTGGCGGGGGGATCATCCATCAACATGAATTGATCCATGGAAGCTCCTTCTGTGCCGCAGAACTTGGCCACCTTGTTGTGTCTCTGGGTGGGCCTGATTGTTCCTGTGGAAGCCATGGGTGTATTGAAGCGTATGCCTCTGGAATGGCCTTGCAGAGGGAAGCAAAAAAACTACATGATGGTTAGTTTCTTTCTCCTGAGAATTAAAGAGCCTGATGGTAGACAAGTACTTCAAAGTAGCTATTCCAGAGAGCTGAACACTGAAGCTACTAGAATTTTTAAGCTTTTCATTTGCTAGAGGAAAAGTGGGGCTCCCTCACACCAAAGCTCCAAAGCCTTCTTGGTCCTGCCCCACAGTAATGCCCCTCTTCAGCAGGGGAGGCGGACGGGTTTGGAGCTCCAGCATTGCAGGGAAAATTTCTTTCATTTTTGTTTTCTCAGCTGTTCACACTGGGTGGGTAGTTAATACACATTTTAATGAAGAATTACATGGATGAACATATTACAGTTTTTGAACTCTGAGTGTCTATTTGAATTACAGCTGTTTCTAGACATGTTATGAAAGTCGGTATGGTTTCCAGTCTAATGCAAGAGGGAGCCAGTGTCATAATACGGCTTGCCAAGTGCAGGGGGAATGGTGGCCCAGCATTGTCAGCGCACACAGGAGGAACAGCAGTGTCCCTTCCGGGTCCTCCACGCATGGAGGGGAGCGTGAGGTGCCATCCTGGGGGCTTGAGAGTCAGAGGATAGATTAGGGAGGCAAGTTTGGAAGAGCAGGGGAGTGCTTCCCGGCGAGTGCTGTGCAAAGGGCCTGGCAGGGTAGCGTGGAGCAGGGAGGCCGCCAGGACCAGCAGCTGCTGAAGAACCCGCTGAAAAACTAGGAGAAACACACGGTCAGATCTGAATTTTAGATTCTTCACTACACTAACATTTTACTTTCTGAGGGAAATGGTAGTTTACAGAGGATGACTCGTAGGTGGGACAGTTCTAGCATGACTCCACAGTTTTCTGGCCGGACAGCTCAGGGTTGGGGCTCTGAGGCGGAAGAAGTTTTGGCAGGAGTTGATGGTTGGGGACCCGATGGGTTCCCAGGCGGAGGTGCGTGGGGGGCAGCTGGTGACAGGGCTCTGGTGCTCAGGAGAGAGGACTGGACTCATGGGGATTTGGGGATCCCCAGCACTGAGGTGGGAGTTAGACCTAAGAATGAGATGTGGGGAGAGGCAAGAGTCCAGGATGGAATCCCGTGACATGTCGGCACTTGAGGGGCAGGGAGGTAGTCACGGAGGTCAGAGGAGAGTGTCTGAGGGGAGTAGTTGGTAGCGACAAGTGCTGCTTATGAGAAGATCTGAGAGGCCCGCCAGCTTTGGCCATGAGGACATCCTCTGAAGCCCTGAAAACTGTTTGTTTTTCAACCTCCTTTTCATTAGCACTCCCATAAACAGCCTGTTCAGACATTTTTCCTAATCATCCCACCCCATGAAACACTAATGCCACATATATATTATGAATTATCTGTATGAAGAGTAAGACTTTTTTCTGCTCCGAAGAACCAGATTTTGCCCCCGGGGGTCGGGGGCAAATGTGTATCTTTTAAGAGTTAAGTCAGTGGGAGCAGAAGTCTGACAGCACTGAGAGGGAAGAAGCGCTTGGGGACGTGGAGTTGTGAGCATGTCCTGAGGCAAAGCGGAGTGCGAGAATGGGAGTGACACTGAGAAGGCAGGAGAGGAAGGGCGTTTGAGTCCCCACAATACGCCCAGAAGAGGAGGGGGAGAGGTGAGCTGCAAAGCCCCAGCAGAGAAGGGCCTGAGAGGGAAGGAGGAGCAGATGCGCACCGAAACCGATGTCTAGCTGGGGGGCTGAAAATTCAGGAAATTCCTGCCCGGTGGTGTTCTCACCGGTGAGGTCGGAAGCACAGAGGTCTCTCGGCAGTCGGGCGGAGGGTCGGGGGAGAATGTGAGGCGGTGAAAGCTTAGAAGAGCCAAGGGGGAGAGGCAGGGAGCTGGCCAGGCCTAAGGTGCACCAGAGCCCAAGTGTACTAGCAGGTGCAGTGGCAGGGGGCCTGTGTTGGTGAGGGGCAGTAAAGACAAGGGCTGTACACGACAGAAATACCTACCGTCTGGTCAGCACTGAACAAAATACTTCATGTCCATTATGTCATTGGATCCCTGAAATAGTCCAGCAAGGGTAGTGATTATCACCCTGACTTTATAGAGAAAAGAAACGTACAGAGGTGAAGTGACAGGGACAGGGTCATGCAGTGAGGAGTGGCAGAGCTGGCACCTGGACCCTGGTCTGTGTCTGTTCTTTAGGTGCTGTGACTTCCTGCCATAGAATGTGGGGTGCTGGCAAGTCATGTGCCATTGTATCTGGGATGGATAAGGAGGGAGATGAAGGCAGAGTCGTCTAATAATTGGGGGTAAGAAAACCACACAAGGACAGTTTCATATGGAAGTGAGAAGGAAGAAGCTAGAGGGGTGGGTATGCGGCTGTCAGAGTTGAGGATTTTCTAGTTAGAGAAGTTCTGGGTGATGTTTAACCGGCAGCAAGAGGGCAGCAAGGGTCTCTGGGGCAGTGTATGTGGGTGTTTGTGAATGATACCAATTTTGCAAACGTGAAAAGAAAGTGTCTTCCCACTTGAGGGCTTGCTGCCTGTAAGCACAGTGGGTAAGCGTGGCCCCCCACCAGGCTGCCCTAACCCTGATCCTTCTCACTTCACAAACAGAAGACTTGCTCTTGGTGGAAGGGATGTCAGTGCCGAAAGACGAAGCTGTGGGTGCAGTCCATCTCATCCAGGCTGCCAAACTTGGCAACGCGAAGGCCCAGAGCATCCTGAGAACAGGTGAGTGAGCGGTTCCAGGCAGCTCTGCTGCGGTGGCGGCCCACAGACACCCTCAGGCCTGGGGCTCTGGAATGTGTCTGCAGAGGTATTTTTCCTGCTTACTGAGAGGAAAAGGGAATTGCATTCTAGGTATTTAGCACATTGCCTTTTTAAACATATTTTTAAATTTTTGTTTTACAACTATGAAGAAACTACTTGTTCATTTTATAGGAAATTTATAGAAATGTTGGAGAGTAAGAAAAAGTATCACTTCAGAGTTTTACTGTTCAGAGATATCAACCATTAACATTTCTTTCCAGTCTTTATTTTACATGGTTGAGACCATATAGTACATAGAATTTTGTACCCAGTTTTAATTCCAAAGCATCATGTGATAATTTCTCATACTAAGAATCAATCACAAACAGCTTTAAAAGTACTGCTTCTGTTAGGCAGTGTGAATGTCCTATTCCTGGCTCCTGGCTCTTTCTATCTTCCTCTGGCATTCTGATCAGCTCTGGCCCTGAAACTTACTTTCATTTTTCTTTTCCTGTAGCTGGAACAGCTTTGGGTCTTGGGATTGTGAACATCCTCCACACTATAAATCCCTCCCTTGTGATCCTCTCCGGAGTCCTAGCCAGTCACTATGTCCACATCGTCAAAGACGTCATCCGCCAGCAAGCCCTGTCCTCAGTTCAGGACGTGGATGTGGTGGTTTCGGATTTGGTGGACCCCGCCCTGCTCGGTGCTGCCAGCATGGTTCTGGACTACACCACTCGCAGGATCTGCTAGGCCTCCCAGGTGTGGATGTGGCCCGAGACTCGAGAGCCCCTTAGTGGAATCAGGTGGTCTTTTAGATGAGCATTTCTTAAAAAAGCAAATTAGGTATTTAAATTTATTTGGCAGGTGACTTAGGCAGTTATGTTTTTGCTATTTAGTCTCCTTGTCCTCATTTTTGTAGATGCCATCCTCTCTGGGGTCTTTTCAGCACAAATCCTGTAAGTACCAGTCACAATTTCTTTGTGCCAAAAGGAGCTATGCTAGTAAATAAGGAAGCCTTAAGACTCTGTTTTCTAGGTGTACCCGCAGGCCTTGCTTGGGATGTGACCTTGACTCTGGAGTTTGAGTTACTAATCCTCCTCAGACCCTATAACTCAGACTGTGGAAAGGAATCCAGTCAGCAAACAGAAGGAAATCTGACTATGAAAAGCCTAAGTAAACTTAAAAAAAAGCAGCTTTATTGAAGTATTTTTTAAGTACACAATTTGATAAACTTTGACATATGTATATACCTGTGAAACCATTACCACAGTCAAGACATTGGACTTAATCTGTCACCCCCAAATACTTGTTTAAAGATGTCATAACACTCACAGAACCTTGATCAACTTTAGGGATCTGAATTACTATGGCCTTATGACCTTGTCCTTATCTTCTTGAGGACAGCTGAGAAGCCACTAAGATTTATAGCCTCTGAAAGGAGATTAACCATGCCAAAAAAATCTTTGCTACTGACAAGCAGACGCCTCTCCCTTCAATAGCTTTCATACTAAGTGGAGTATGACCCTGGGGTGTCTACTTTCACTGCTGTTGAGATACAAAGGCCAAGGTTCTTGCTGTCAATTTCAACCTGGAAGAATAGCCACCATTTATTAAGTGCCTACTGTGTCAGGCTCTGAACTAGGTGTTTCATATACATTATTTTAAATTCTTATTACCTGTAAGATAGCTGTTTTGATTCCCATTTTATAAAAGCCCACACTAAGTCTTAGTGTGTTGAAGTGACATGACTAAAGCTATGTGGCCAGTGAGTCTTAGAGACAAGGTTTGATCACAGGTCCCTTTATGCTTTTTCTAAGCCACACAATCTCTCAAGAGCCAAAACTTTGAAAATGCAAATATTTTCCAATTTCCTCCAGGCTACCTAAAGCTTTATTTAAAAAATGCCATTAGCAAGTGACTTGATTTGTCCCCTCAGCAGTGAATTCAATCAAATATTCTTTTATGCTGTGGAACTTCTGCCAGTCAGTATTTGGTCCAGACAGGCTTTTATGGGTACTTTAGGATGATCTAAAAAGGCAATATGCATATTTTTCAGATTATTATTTTAGGAAATCAAAGGTTTCTACAGCCTATTGATTGAGTGTTAGCATATAAAATAATCATTTTCTAGTTAGGGAAGTTCTGGGTGATGTTTAACCGGCCGCAAGAGGGCAGCAAAGGTCTCTGCAGGCGTTTGTGAATGATACAAATTTTGCAAATGTGAAAAGGAAACGTCTTCCCACTTGGGGGCTTGCTGCTTGTAAGCACAGTGGGTAAGTGTAGCCCCCCACCAGGATGCCCTAACCCTGACCCTTCTCACTTCACAGAGACTTTACTGCATTTGGATTTCTTCCTTCCTGGTGGGTTAAGATGAAGACAGTTGGGTTGGTTCCTAGAACTCTACCAGCCCTGAAATAATAATCTCCAGGTCCTGCTTATTGTCGAAAAATTCCACAGGTGATTCACAGGAAGGAAGCTAGTTGGCTCGGCCATCAGTGGCGTGAGATGGATGGTTCACTGTATTAGTTCCTTGGTAAAATCTATAACCACTTTATACACCAGATAATTGCATTGCTGTCAAGTTTCATACAGGATAATTGAAGAGTGGTACTGAATGTAAAACAAAATCTTAAGTTTTTAATAAATTCATGCAAAGGGTAATATATTCCAATATAATTGTTAGCTGTAGTTAAGTAATCACATATTAATTTATTTTAATGTAAATATTTTTGTTACTGTTCTAGGCCAAATTCTAAAGAAAAAATAAATGTATTTCCTTGTGGAAATCCTAACTTTGGTATTTTGTTTTGTTCTTAATCTCTAGCTAAAAGCATTTCCCCTCCCAGAAGATATTTATATTGTTGTTTATATTGTTGCACTGCTTTTTGAAGGTGATGTAACTTCTTTAAGGCATCAATACTGATTTCTTAGCAAAATAAATCTTAATAAAAAGAAAGCAGTTAGAACTTTTTAAAAATAAATTATGAAATGATCACCATAGAAAATCTAGTTAACATCCATCACCATATAGCTACAGAATTTTCTTTCCTTGTGATGAGAACTTTTAAGATTTAGTTTCATTGCAACTTTAAAACGGACAATACAATATTATTAACTAGTCACCATGCAATATGTTGCATCCCCATGACTTACTTTATAACTGGAAGTTTGTACTTTTCCACTCCCTTTATCCATTTCACTTGCTCCCACCTCTGGCAACCACCAGTCTATTCTCGGTATCTATGAGCTTGGTTTTTGGTTTAGACTTCACATGTAAGTGGGGTAAATTGGTATTTGTCATTCTCATTCTGTCCAATTTATTTCACTTATTGCTTTTGAGGTCCATCCATTTGTTTGCAAATGACATTTCACTTTTCTATGTGTGAATAATATTCCTGTGTGTGTATGTGTGTGTGTGAATACTATTCCATTTCCTTTATCCATTAACCCATTGGTGGACATTTAGGTTGCTTCCATGCCTTGGCTATTTTAAGTAATGCTGCAGTGACCATGGGGTTATGTGTATTTTTTTGTTACTGTTTTCATTTCCTTTGGATACATGCCCCAAAGTGGATCAGTGGATCATATGGCAGTTCTATTTTTAATTTTTTGAGGAACTTCCAATAGTGCTTTCCATAGTTGGTGCACCAATTTATATTCCCACCAGCAGGGCACAAAGGGTTCCCTTTTCTGTACATCTTCACTAACATTTTTTATTTTTTGTCTTTTTGATAATGGCCATTCTAACAGGCATGAAATGGTATCTCATTATGGCTTAGATTTGTATTTCCTGGGTGATTAGGGATGTTGAGCATCTTTTACATGTACCAGTTGGCTCTCTCTCATCTTTGGAATAATGTATATTCAGATCCTCTGCCTTTTAATTGGATCGTTCAGTTTTTGCCTTTGGGTATGACTCGTTTATATATTTTTGGATATTAATTCCTTATCAGATATATATGATTTACAAGTATTTTCTCCTATTAACTAGGTTGCCTTTTTATGGTTCTCTTTGCTGTACAGCTTTTTGGTTTGATGTAGTCCTGTTTATTTTTGCTTTCATTGCCTTTGCTTTTGATGTCAAATCCAAAAATCATCACTAAGAGATCAGTATCAAGGGGTTTCCTGTTTTTGTCTTCTAGGAGTTTTATGGTTTGACATCTTGAATTCAAGTCTTTAATCCATTTAGTTAATTCATATATGTAAGATAGTGGTCCATTTTCATTCTTTCACATGTGGCTGTCCAGTTTTCCCAGCACCACTTACTGAAGAGATTATCCTTTCCAAAACTATATTCTTGGCTCCTTTGTTGTAAACTGATCATACATGTGTATGCTTCTTTCTGGGTTGTATGTCTGTTCTTATTCCAATAATGTACTGTTTTGATAACTATAGCTTTGTAATATAGTTTGAAATCAGGGAGTGTGATGCCTTCAGCTTTATTATTCTTTTTTTTTTGTTTTTGAGAGGGCATCTCTCATATTTATTGATCAAATGGTTGTTAACAACAATAAAATTCTGTATAGGGGACTCAATGCTCAATGCACAATCATTAATCCACCCCAAGCCTAATTCTCGTCATTCTCCAATCTTCTGAAGCATAACAAACAAGTTCTTACATGGTGAACAAATTCTTACATAGTGAATAAATTCTTACATGGTGAACAGTACAAGGGCAGTCATCACAGAAAATTTCAGTTTTGATCACACATTATGAACTATAAACAATCAGGACAAATATGAATATTCGTTTGATTTTTATACTTGATTTATATGTGAATCCCACATTTCTCCATTATTATTATTATTATTTTTAAAAAAATGCTGAAGTGGTAGATAGATGCAAGATAAAGGTAGAAAACATAGTTTAGTGCTGTAAGAAGGCAAATGTAGATGATCAGATGATCAGGTGTGTGCCTATGGACTAAGTATTAATCCAGGCTAGACAAGGGCAGCAAGACATCCACGGATGCAGAAGATTTCTCTCAAAGCAGGGGGGGTGAGGTTCTGAGCCTCACCTCTGTTGATCCCCAAATTCTCACCTGATGGCCCCCCTGCGACTGTGCCTGTCTTAGGTTGTTCCTCCCTTGAGGAATCTTACCCGTCTCTGGCTAACCAGTCATCTTCCGGGGCCATACAGGGAAATGTAAAGTTGGTAAGTGAGAGAGAAGCCATATTGTTTGCAAAGGTTAGCTTTTTACTTCTTTGCAGATTTATGCCCTGTGGCTTCTATGCCCAGCACTTGTCTCGAGGTATCTTTACCACCTGGAGGAATTATGATACTCGGTAAATTCGATATGAGGCACGAATTCTATTTAAGGTTTGTAATTAGGAAGGAAGAAGAAAAGCTATAGATGTAGCATATGAAGGAAACTTGGGAGGATTGATTATTTCTTTGACATATCTTCTTGTATAGTACCTTAAGTATGTATAGGTTTTAAACTACTAACTAATTTGCACACACATATTAACATAATAGGAATACGGTGACATAAACAAAGCAAATCTATAATTACCAGCCATCTCCAGTGAAGCCAAGAAAACCATTTAGGCACCCTAGGCATTTGTGAAAATTTATCTATGATATGATGGATATTTTCCAACTGTACTTGAACCATCAGACAAATTAAAGCAGCCCATTTCTGGGATCTGTTCACATCCCATATGTTCTTTTAACCATAGATAGTCTATAGTCATGAGATTTTGGGGTGCTACAACTTGCACCCCTCCCAACTCCTGGTTGAGTTCCAACAGTACAGATCCAGTCAAATTCGTTGTCTCACTGTATGCACATGCCAGCCTAGACATCTCCCTCCTCCTTCTTATGGCAAGTCCAGGAGATGGTGGGCTGGATGCAGCCACAACCGCAGCATCGTCCGGATCCCTGTGGAGGCTTTTTGATGATCATCCCCCGGCACGAGTCCTCCAGAGAGTGCTGATGCCGGAAGCTCCTCCTCATATCGTATCTTAGTTCATTTTCTGGGTATCCAAGCTAGGCCTTGATCTTCTGCGTAGAAACAAACAGACCCTTTGCCCACACTTTGACATGCCCTCTATACCACTGTGCAGAACTCATTGGAGGTCAGCACACAGTAACTTTTTTTTTTTTTTTTTTTAATTAAGAGAAAGGAATATTATCAGAAAAGAGTACCTCCATAGCTGATCATCTGACACCCTTTAAGTGATCAACATTAAGGATATTTAAAGCATGCGTTGATCTTTGATTTACCAATAGTTTTATCCTGTTAAGGAGTAATCCCCCTTTTCTTTCTTTTTTTTTTTTTTTTTTTTAAATTTTTAATCTACACTTACCTGAAGAATACTATGTTTACTATGCTCTCCCCTATATCAGGTCCCCCCTAACAACCACATTACGGTTACTGTCCATCAGCTTAGCAAAATGTTGTAGAGTCACTACTTGTCCTCTCTGTGTTGTGCAGCCCACCCTCCCCTTTCTCCCTCCCCCCCATGCATGCTAATCTTAATACCCCCCTTCTTCTTCCCCCCCCTTATCCCTCCCTGCCCACCCATCCTCCCCAGTTCCTTTCCCTTTGGTACCTGTTAGTCCATTTTTGGGTTCTGTAATTCTGCTGCTGTTTTGTTCCTTCAGTTTTTCCTTTGTTCCTATACTCCTCAGATGAGTGAAATCATTTGGTATTTCTCTTTCTCCGCTTGGCTTATTTCACTGAGCATAATACTCTCCAGCTCCATCCATGTTGCTGCAAATGGTTGGATTTTTCCACTTCTTATGGCTGAGTAGTATTCCATTGTGTATATGTACCACATCTTCTTTATCCATTCATCTACAGATGGACATTTAGGTTGCTTCCAATTCTTGGCTATTGTAAATAGTGCTGCGATAAACATAGGAGTGCATCTGTCTTTCTCAAACTTGATTGCTGCGTTCTTAGGGTAAATTCCTAGGAGTGGAATTCCTGGGTCAAATGGTAGGTCTGTTTTGAGCATTTTGATGCACCTCCATACTGCTTTCCACAATGGTTGAACTAATTTACATTCCCACCAGCAGTGTAGGAGGGTTCCCCTTTCTCCACAGCCTCGCCAACATTTGTTGTTGTTTGTCTTTTGGATGGCAGCTATCCTTACTGGTGTGAGGTGATACCTCATTGTAGTTTTAATTTGCATTTCTCTGATAATTAGCGATGTGGAGCATCTTTTCATGTGTCTCTTGGCCATCTGTATTTCTTTTTTGGAGAACTGTCTGTTCAGTTCCTCTGCCCATTTTTTAATTGGGTTATTTGTTTTTTGTTTGTTGAGGCGTGTGAGCTCTTTATATATTCTGGACGTCAAGCCTTTATCAGATCTGTCATTTTCAAATATATTCTCCCATACTGTAGGGTTCCTTTTTGTTCTATTGATGGTGTCTTTCGCTGTACAGAAGCTTTTCAGCTTAATGTAGTCCCACTTGCTCATTTTTGCTGTTGTTTTCCTTGCCCGGGGAGATATGTTCAAGAAGAGATCACTCATGTTTATGTCTAAGAGGTTTTTGCCTATGTTTTTTTCCAAGAGTTTAATGGTTTCATGACTTACATTCAGGTCTTTGATCCATTTTGAGTTTACCTTTGTATATGGGGTTAGACAATGGTCCAGTTTCATTCTCCTACATGTAGCTGTCCAGTTTTGCCAGCACCATCTGTTGAAGAGACTGTCATTTTGCCATTGTATGTCCATGGCTCCTTTATCAAATATTAATTGACCATATATGTTTGGGTTAATTTCTGGGGTCTCTAATCTGTTCCACTGGTCTGTGGCTCTGTTCTTGTGCCAGTACCAA